CACGAGCTGCTGGATACGAACAGGTGGAATTTAGCAGCTCATTTACACACTTTTCCTGAAGACAGAAGAGTTTGTTGAATCTGACGTGACATGTTCGTACAAACCCTTTGTACGAACAAAAGTAAGAGAAATTTAGGATAAGAATATGAACATGTTCTTGCATGAGGCCCATTGTTGCCATGTTTGTAATGACTTATCACGAGAACAAGCGTATTCATGCATGACTTCAGTAGCATTTCTCACTTAATGGAAACACCGCAGTTGCGAAACTGTTTTTTCGACTTTAACAGAATATCGACAAAGTTTTGCGCACATTTGCTATGGAAACGCAGCTAGTGTTACAAGTTGGTTTGGTTCATCTTAGAGGTGTACTAAATCATACCATATGATTTTTCCATCTTTAAATAAATAAAATAAATTAAAATGTCTGATAATGGGTAATATGTATCATAGACATCTTCTTTTCATTTTTAAGCACAAAGCCTGACGTTGTTTTTTGCTAACACATGCAGTCTGTCCCAGTGGTCACTTTGGGAAGAACTGTGCCTGGAGCTGCAGGTGCACCAACAATGGCACCTGTAACCCCATCGATGGATCCTGTCAGTGTTATCCAGGATGGATCGGCAGCGACTGCTCCCAGCGTGTGTTCTCTCTGTAAAATTATGAAAATACAGTTTGATTATTAACATGAATCATTGTTTTAAAATCAGCTATAAATAAGTGAATTGAGTTCATAAACAAATTATTATTCATTTGTGAAGGAGTGTACTAAAGTTTAACTGTTACTTTATTGCAGCGTGTCCTCCAGGTCACTGGGGCCCCAACTGCATCCACACCTGTAACTGCCACAATGGGGCACACTGCAGTGCTTATGACGGAGAATGCAAGTGCACGCCTGGATGGACTGGCCTCTACTGCACACAACGTTAGTCACACAGTTCAACCCACCCACACATGGGGGAGTCTCCTAACTGTTTTGCTTTAACAGTTTCTCAGACACTCGGGGACTGATGGGACTAAAGGGCAGCTCTGTTCAAGCAACAAAGCTTCATGTTTTAGTTCAACAATAACTAATAATATTCTAAATACCCACATATGTGGGGTACATATTAGAAAAACACTTTTGGTGGAAAGAAAATGTAGACATAAATGTAGATATTGACATGAAGCTCAAACTTTGTCACCTGTCACACAGTTGTGTATTGTTTCTATGGCATATTGAGATTTGTGGCTGTAACAGCACACTGTCTCTTCTTTGAAAACGTCACATATATCATACATACACATCTTTTTAAAATTCTGTGACCCATCAATAACATTACATATGTCATTATATATTATGTCAACAGTTGCAAACCGCTTCTGGTGTAGATTCATACATGTCAGGTTGTACGGATTGTCTGTAAATTATACGGATTTCCCCCCATTTTGCATGGATACAGACACATACAGCCAACTTCCAGATTGACCTTGTGGGTCATTTTGACCCAAGAACAGCTAGAGGGTTAAATCCAGGCCACACTGACTTAAAATTAGCAGGGGAAAAATGCAGATGCAAACCATCTGGACTTTATAATAAATGTATGATAGAGTTGTAACTTATTTATGTGCTGCTTTACTGCATTTGATTCAAGTAAAGGATGTTGTGCTTTATAAATGAACATTAAGTCAACACTAAATGTCACACAATATTTCTTGTTTGTTTCAAAAGTAAAGCTATTGAATTTTATAGATGTGATAAGATAAGATAAGATAAGATAAGATAAGATAAGATAAGATAAGATAAGATAAAACTTTATTGATACCACAGTGGGGAGATTTGCACATTACTGCAGCTCAATACAGGAGAGGGTGAGATAGAATAAAGAAAGATAAGTTAAAGAAAAAAAACACTACACTCATGATATACTGTATAACAATACCTAGTACAGTACATAAATGAATGTATGAAGGTGCATATTAGTGATGGCAGTGTAGGTGAATTGTCCAAGTGACTGATAACATCATGATGTGTTATACAGTCTAACTGCAGTTGGAATGAAAAAAGATGATGATGATGATGATGATGATGATGATGATGATGATGATGCTGATGATGATGATGAGAGTCTCTTTTGCAGGCTGTCCATTAAGTTTTTATGGGAAGGACTGCTCACAGACATGCCAGTGTAGGAATGGTGCTGATTGTGAACACATCTCTGGAAAATGCACGTGCCGAACAGGCTTCATGGGACAACACTGTGAACAAAGTATGTTTTTTTTCCTTTCTTTCAGTTTGTTGGTTTTTTCTACATATTTTCTCATTTATTTAGTTTTTTTTAGCTTTCTTTTGAATAATCCAGCAGCTTATTTCAACACTTGATTATTAACAATTCACCAAATACAGTGTATCATCTGTTGTGTTTGTTTAAACTTTAAGTTAGTAGTGGTGGGCACAGCTAACCAAAAAGTTAGGTTCACTAACTACGGATCTGCTGAACAAGAACCTTAGCTTCACTAACAACAAACCTCTACACACATTAGTGGAAATCAACAGAAGCTACCTGCAACCAGCCAGACAACTGTTACAGTTTGTGTCACACGTTTTTATCCCCTTCCCATAGAAGACTGGTGGAACTGACTGACCTGTTATTACCGTATTTATACGGTCTTGAGTATAATACGATCATTTTTTGAGCTTAAAAAGCATTAAAAATCTAATCATCAATAACCTGTGTATAATACTACCCCCCACTTTATGGATGATTTTTAGGTTTAAATTTATAGTATTATACATGAATATAAATACAGTAGTTTTCTGTTGGTTTAATTTGAAGGTGGATGGGATCCTTTGTAGCAAATTGGCCAATCCAAACCAGTTATAGCTTTGTCTAAATTGTGATACTTCCAGTTTACGCTGGGGAGTTTTGGTATTGATCCAATACAAAGTAAATACAGGGCTAGTATTGCCAATTACAATGACAATATTTGTCATGTTCAATGAATAATTTTGGTAGTCAATTATGATAAAACACAAGACAAAGATTTTAAACAAATAAAATGTTTTGTATTAACTTACTACAACAAAATAAAGCAATTTAATAGTATAAAAATAAAGTCTTTTAGTAATTTATATACTGTAAATTTATTTTAAAGTTCTATCTGCAATTTCGCTATTATCAAATACTTTTGAAGGAAAAAATAAATGGCTCAGATGTCTACATTTCACTTTTTTTCTTCAGAGTGTCCTCATGGTTCATACGGATATGGCTGCCGTCAGGTCTGTGACTGTCTGAATAACTCCACTTGTGATCACATGACTGGAACATGTTACTGCAACCCTGGCTGGAAGGGAGTTCGATGTGACCAAGGTTGGGACATAACTTTTGCTTAGTTGGAAATTGACTTTTGACAAACTAATGATCTAATTTGTGTTCACCAATTCCTTGTTTTGACTGCAGCTGGTGTTGTGACCATAGGAAGCCTGAACGGTTTAACCAGTACAGCCATGCATGTGGACACCTACCAGATAGGGGCCATTGCAGGGATTATTGTCCTGGTCCTGCTGGTGCTTCTCCTCTTGCTCATTCTTATCGTCTTCAGAAAGAAGCAGAAGGGTAAAGAGTCCACCATGCCAGCTGTGACCTATACTCCTGCCATGAGAGTTGCAGCTGACTACACCATGGCAGGTAAATTACAGTGTAACTCAAAAACATTGTTTTTATATAGTTTTAAGCAACACGTAAACCCTTCGTATACCCTTCTGGTATATTTGTCATCTTATCATTTTTCAGATGCTCGCACGCCAACTAGTGAGGCCCAGCCCAGTAATTATTTCTCCAACCCCAGTTATCATACCCTAACCCAATGCATCAGCCCCACACACATCAGCAGTGGTCCATATGGAAAGGTATGGGAATATACTGTATTTTTTTAGTTATTGATAGAGACAGGATGGGACAAAAAGCTCTTGCTAAGATATTTTTTCAAATGCCTTTAAATCCTGTTTTAGGTCAGTTTTAACCAGTTATTGGCAAACATGAAGAATGTGGATCAAAGAAAACAGGCTCATGTAGGCCCTCAAATTGGTACGCTACCTGCAGACTGGAAACAAAGAGACTGCTTCAGTGAACTGGGTAAGATTCCTCTGGTGTAGGCTTGACTAAAAACATTTCATTTGCACTTTAACAGTCATACTAATTTTATAATTCATTAGCAGAAATGCACTTTCTAAAATTAAAATGCAATACTGCTAATAACTAATTATCTACCAGTCATCAATACATTGAACAGTGGAAGGTATGACTGTCAATGAATCATAACACACATGATGTGTCCAACAGCACCCCTCCCTGATGAACACATGTATTGGAAACACATACATCCTTGCTGACTGTTGCTCTCGGTCAGGGTTCTCATTTCCCACAATGCTTTGTGTCTGCTTACATTGCAGGAAGGCAATGTTTAGAACTCCCTTTCCCAGCAAAAACAGTTAACGTTTGTAATCCATACTAAAATTTTGTATGTATTGATTTATTTTACTTTACAATCGGAGCTCCTTTTTTTTTTGAAGAAAAAAAGTTTAAACGCTGGAGCTCAAAAGCAATCAGCCAACGGTGTTACGGGCTCAGAAATGATTTAAAGATGTTATGCTGGTGAAGACACACATGTAGTGGTCAACTGGAGCAACTACTTGAAAACGTCCTAATCCTGGTAGAAAAAAATAAAAAGAAAAGATAAGGAGGTCCTCTGGATGGGTTCTTCTTTAGTGAACGTTTCATCTCTCCTCCAAGAGACTTCTTCAGTCTGATGAGTTTCAGGTGAACTGGAAAACTTTAAAATCCAAGCTCTTATTTTGAAGGGAAGATAGTAGTTTCCTGTTCCCCGTGCTTTCATTTCCCGTCAGTCTGTCATGTACCCAGAATGCATTGCTTTGGTTTTCCAATAAACAGTTTTAAAATTGCTTTATTGATGCTTCTTTAATGAAAAATCTACAACAAACAAAAGAAAAAAACAAAGAAGCAGCCGAACTAGCAATCCTCAACAACTTTTTAAAGAATCAGCCAAACTAGCAATCCTCAACAACCTTTTAATTTTTACACCAGGAGCCAAAGTCCGGTTTCAGGAAATCATATCCCCAGCATTCCGTGCTTGTAGGATTAAGCTGTACAAGGGTTCATACACACTGCTAATTGGCAGTGTTGTGCATGTATTTTACATGATGTTTTGCCAGCTAGTAAATGTCAAATTGAACTTGTGGTTTAAAATTAGCTGCCGCTAATTTTTCTATGGCATAAGTGTTTTTGAAGCTGCGGACTTAAATATTTTCATAAGCGCTTTAGAAATTGTGGAGCTAATTTTTGGGTTAGTGCTGCCCACCACTGGTTAATAGTAAAGTTATAAAGAAAGATCATGACAACACTTTCTTAATGGGATTCCAGTGCAGTCTGCTTTGTAATAATCTATAACACTACTTTTAATGTACAATTCACTCTTGTTTTATGTCATCCATACCAGGAGCCTGTGGTGTTGACAAGGCATTTATGGGAACACCTTTAGGAGGTACATCCTGCATGAAAATGTTAAACTTCTAGGTTTAATGATGTTAGAGTATTTGTCGTTGACTGACTCTCCTGTTCATGTTATCCAGATATGGTGAAGGGCAGAGCCTATCATGTCAGCTCCTGTTCCCTTAACAGTTCTGAAAACCCATATGCCACAATAATTGACCCTCCCTTATTGACATCCAAAAACACAGAATGTGGCTACATGGAAATGAAATCACCCGCCAGACGAGATTCAGCGTATGCAGAAATTAGCAGCAGCAGCTGCAGCAGCAGCCCTAACAATAACCGAAATGTCTACGAAGTTGGTAAAGAGCTTTTTTCTTTCTCTTGTTTTAAGCCTGTCTGGGGGCTTTACTTTGAAGTATGATTCTACTCACATTGCTCTTCAGCTAAACTAGTTTTCTCTAAATTCTTGTTTTTATTATTTGAGTTGTGTGTTGATTTATTATTGTTGATTGTTCTATTTTTGATTTAGATTATACTTGTAATAAAACTTTAAAAGACAAAATTGGTTTTCTCCTCATTTGGTAAATCTGTTTAGCACAAAAAGTAAGGAAATTTGTGCTTGGTAGATTTCTCGTTTGTTGTACCAATGCTTCTTGGCAATAAATCTTATATGAGGCACCTGATTGGCAGCAACTGGAGGTACCAGAAGCTGAAAACAAGTGTCACTATCAACAGCAAAATAAGATGTTTAGCATTAGGAGAGAAGATTTGACAAATTGTTCATGTGCACAACCCACATGCTCATCTCCACTGCTCATCCCACAAATACACATTCCTTACAAATGTGGCACCACTTAAAAGGGGGATTAACTAACTTTTCAACAGTATATGATTTATTGTCAAGAAACATTGTTACAAAAAATAAATAATCTACCAAACACTACTTTCTTTACTTTTTTGTGCTAAGCTTATTTATTGCTTATGGTAAAGAGTTTCCTGTAATTATACAAATTTTACTTCAGTAGTTGAATTCTGAATAAAAAAATGAATAAATAATTCAAACTGTTTTTGATTTACCAAGTTCATCTGGTTCCCCCCTTAAGGAGAACTTTAAAGGATTAAAGAGTGACTTTCTAATACACTGAATTACTTTTATACATTTATTTTTCTTAAATTTAGGCCTTTTTAAGCATCATACAATTGTCCCTCATCCAAAATACCAATGGACTTCTGTTTTTCTTTTTTATTTCAGAACCAACTGTAAACCCCATCCAGACCTCTGAAATTAGCAACAGCCATCTGCGGTTTCACCAGGATTTATATGATCTACCAAAAAACAGTCATGTGCCCATTCACTATGATTTCCTGCCACCTAGAGAAAGTCCTTCCTCAGAGCTGAAGGAGTTGGATTGTGAATAACGGATCAGGATCCAGATCAGGTCTCTGCAGATGCTCTACATACAGGTGCACATTGAATATTTTTACTAGTCTTTGTTTTATAATCTTTGACAATGTCATTGTAATGACTTGGATTGAATTATATACATTTTGTTTGTTTAAGTTTTGTTGTTGCTTTTTTCATACAGTAGTTACTTTAATTGCAAAGAAGTCTTCAGCCCTGCTCAGATCTAGCTTGAACATGAGCCTTGGCTTATCCAGTCATAAGTGAGCCATAGTAGGTGTGTCCTCAGTCGGCCTTTTTTAATCCCAGTTGTACATGTCTGTATCACACAGTCAAATGTCTGCTCATCAAAAAAAAAAGGACACATGTTCACTGATTTTTCTGTGAGATCACAAATGAGTCACCTCAGGACAGCAGGTGGTAAATCAATGTGGGCCAGGACAGATATGCATTCAGACTGCTAAACAATTGTAAATATTGCATCCTGGATTATCCCCCTCAGTCTGTCCACCTCTGTTCACTGTTGTCCACTTGTGATATGACCACCAAGAATGCATGTCAGTGACAGATTTGAACCAGACTCAAGGTCATTCCACATATCGACCAGACCAGTGCTTTATAGAAAGCTTGTTTGGTAAAGTACTGTCTGATCAAACGTACTTTTATAATGGTGACTGTCCATAAATTTATCAGTTTCACTGATCTTTCTCAAAGAAGTTGTAAAACAGAACTAAGTTCTAGTTAACAGTGTTATCATGACAAATTGTACGAATGGAACATCCATTTAGGTACATACTGTATAAGTGTAAATACAAGTATTCAAAAAATAAATACAACGTCACTATGGCTGAATGTATGAGTTGTAGTTTCCTACTCCATTAAATGTAGCAAGCACTATGTTTTATAAAGGCAGGGTTTTCTGACTTTTCATGAAACATGTCTGTGTAATGTATAGTGAGAGTCTGCTGGGAACGTCTGGCAGAGTCTCCCATCAGACAGAGCTTCAACTCACAACTCCAGGAGAACTTTGAACACATTCCAAGTGAGGTGGGGGACATTGAGTCTGAGTGGGCCATGTTCCATGCCTCCATTGTCGAGGTGGCTTATCTGAGCTGTGGCCGTGAGGTTGTCGGTGCCTGTCGTGGCGGCAACCCTTGAACCTGCTGGTGGACACCGGCGGTAAGGGATGCTGTCAGGCTGAAGAAGGAATCCTATCGGGTCTTTTTGGCCTGTGGGAGGGACTCCGGAAGAAGCCGGTAGGTATTGGCAGTCCAAGCGGATTGCGGCTCGGGTGGTTGCTGAAGCAAAAACTCTGGCGTGGTAGGAGTTTGGAGAGGCCATGGAAAAAGACTTCTGTACGGCTTCGAGGCAATTATAGTCCACCATCCAGTGTCTCGGGGGGGAAGCGGTTTGCCACCAACACTGTTTATGATGGGGATGGTGCGCTGCTGACCTCAACTCAGGACGTTGTGGATAGGTGGGCATGGCTTCCCATGAGGAAGCAGAGCCTGTGGACCCTGGGTCAGACTCTCCAATCTCTGGTGCCGAGGTCACTGAGGTGGTTAAAAAAGCTCCTCGGTGGCAGGGCACCGGGGGTGGATGAGATTCGCCCAAAGTTCCTTAAGGCTCTGGATGTTGTGGGGTTGCATTGGTTGACGTGACTCTACATTATCACGTAGACATCGGGGTCAGTTCCCCTGGATTAGCAGATCAGGGTGGTTGATCCCCCATTTTAAAAAGGGGGACCGCAGAGTGTGTTCCAACTATAGGGGGATCACACTTCTAAAGCTCCCTGGTAAGGTCTATTCAGGGGCTATGGAGAGGAGGGTCCATCTGTCTGTAGTCAAATCTCAGATTCAGGTAAAGCAGTGTGGTTTTCCTCCTGGTCGTGGAGCAGTGGACCAGCTCAACACCCTCAGCAAGGTCCTGGAGGGTGCATGGGAGTTCGCCCAACCAGTCTACATGTGTTTTGTGGACTTGGAGAAGGTCTTCGACCGTGTCCCTTGGGGACTTCTATGGGGGGTACTCTGGGAGTTTTGGGTACCAGGCCCGTTGATACAGGCTGTTAGGTCCCTGTACAACTGGTCCCAGAGCTTGGTCTGCATTACTGGTAGTAAGTCAGACTCGTTTCCGGTGAGAGTTGGACTCTGCCAAGGCTGCCCTTTGTCACCGATTCTGTTCATAACTTTTATGGACAGAATTTCTAGGCACAGCCAATGTGTTGAGGGGATCCGTTTTGGTGACCTTAGGATCACATTTCTGCTTTTTGCGGATGATGTGGTCCTATTGGCTTCATCAGATTGTGATCCCCAGCTCTCAGTGGAGTGGTCTACAGCTGAGTGTGAAGCGGCCAGGATGAGGATCAGTGCCTCCAAATCCAAGACCATGGTCTTGAGCCAGAAAAGGGTAGGGTGCCTTCTCCGTGTCGGGGAGGAGGTCCTGCCCCAAGTGGAGGAGTTTAAGTTTCTTGGGGTCTTGTTCACGAATGAGGGAAAAATGGAGTAGGAGATCGACAGGCAAATTGGTGCTGCGTCTGCGCCGTGCCGATCCATCATGGTGTAGCGAGAACTGAGCCAGAAGGTGAAGCTCTCGATTTATGTTCCAACCCTCATCTATGGTCACAAGCTTTGGGTAGTGACAGAAAGAACAAGATCGCAGATACAAGCGGCTGAAATGAGTTTCCTTTGCAGGGTGTCTGGGCTCTCCCTTAGAGAGAGGGTGAGAAGCTCGGTCATCCAGGAGTGACTCAGAGTAGAGCCACTGCTCCTCCACGTCGAGAGGAGCCAGTTGCTGTGGCTTGGGCATCTGGTTAAGAAGCCTCCTGGACGCCTCCCTGGTGAGGTGTTCCAGGCATGTCCCACTTGGTGGAGGCCCAGAGGAAGACCCAGGACACGCTGGAGGGACTATGTTTCTCTGCTGGCCTGGGACCGCCTTGGGATTCCCCCAGACGAGCTGGCCCAAGTGGCTGGGGAGAGGGAAGTCTGGGTGTCTATGCTTAGGCTGCTGCCCCCGCGACCCGACCCCGGATAAGCAGAAGAAAGGTTACAAACTTTGTATCAAAGATATTATATTTAAACAAAAAAGCAACAGTGGGGCAAATCTAGACTGGTTACTGGAGTATTTTTTAAATCTTTTCACATAGTAATTATATGTAATTGGACAGATTATTTTTTGAACACAACAAACCCTTTTGAGGACAGTCTAAAAAACGTGGAGTCGAGTCTTTTCTTATTGTTTCACTTTCAATGTTTAGCCTTTTTCCAATCAGTGTACCATTCAGTTCAGAAAAACAGATGTTTCTAAATGTCTTTTTTTTTGTACACGTTACTCAAAAATGATTACTTTGCAAAGTAACACCTTGTGAAAATTGTGGTGGCACAACTATGCTGGGTTGTGATGATTTTGTTTGGTATTAAAATTGAATGTCTATTCGGACATCACAACTTTGAGCAAATACATTTTAAGTACTGTAGCAGCAGTTTGAATGTTTAAAACAATAAATTTAAAAAATCAGCAATTTGTTGGATCACTGAAAACAAATTATGCTTTAGCTTGAAAATGACACCAGAAAATTATTTCACTGTGGACTAATAAGGTACCCACTCAAACTGGACATACATTGTCACTTGGCTAATTTGTGTACAAGCCCATTTTATTTATTATTTTATTTTGAGCTTTTTAATGTCAGATTATGCAAATGAGTGACAGATTTTAAAAAATCAAGAATAACAATAAATAGTGTTGTAATAGTGAGTTGGGTCACTAGCTGTCACAGGACCAGTTTCAGTGAAATTTGGCAAATTATTTCTGCCTGTTTTAAGATTGTGTTGGTGGGGGGTTCTGTCCAACATTTCCGTTCAAAGTCTTCAGTATAATGATGGTAACTGGTGGCTGCCTTGCACATTTCAAAGTTGCAAACATTTAAATTACATCTAAATTTATTGTACATTTCAGCTAAAGCTGGTTTATATTTGGTTTAGAAGTGAAACTTTAGTGCCGATCTAAATTTCAACTACGTACATGTTGTCTTTTGAACATGTGTATTTACTTGTACAAATAAAAATAAAATGTAAATATGATCATTTTGATACTGATCAAAATTTCTGTTTATTCCAGAGAATATGAAATGGACATTTTCTATTATAGCAGCATAGGGGTTCACTCAAATTAGTTTTTTTTTTTGCTGACCCTATCCTTGATAACCTCAAGTGGACCAACACCATACCTGCAAACTGTTGCGTGTGTCAGAGGAATTACTCACTGTATAAATCAGGGTTTCAGGTTTTTCTTATGTTTGTCACTTATTTGTATATTCCCTTTGATGGTAGCATACTTTGATTGTAAGACCCAAATGTGTTCATAGGAATCCCACTTTTATACAATTTGTGCTGGCCTTACAACTTTGTTGCTACAAAGTAACTGAACCAAACATTGGATTTTTGTGAAATGTAATTATTTTTTATATGTTTTTGTACAGTTTCTTTGTATTCTAATACTATTCTGAAGATAATTGCCATAATTATGGCTTTAATGTAAATTTAAGTTGAAGATGTCCTGATGCATCTCAGTAATCCAGGTAAAAAATCAAAGGAAAAAAAAATTGTATAGGTCCTCTGGACGGGTTCTTCTTTAATGAAACGTTTCGTCTCTCTTCCAAGAGACTTCTTCAGTCTGAGAGTTTCAGGCAAATTCAGGCTTTTATGCCTGAAACTCTCAGACTGAAGAAGTTTCTTGGAAGAGAGACGAAACGTTTCATTAAAGAAGAACCCGTCCAGAGGACCTATACAATTTTTTTTTCCTTTGATTTTTTACCTGGATTACTGAGATGCATCAGGACTTTCTGCAGGTCATTCACTAGATC